GAAGGTACAGATGCACGAAGGGAGTGGCAAAGCTGGAGGCATAAACCCAGAGCAGATCATGCACATAAACAAACCGGCTGTGCATGTAAAAGGCTGAGGAAAGAGACACGGCTTTAAATAGCAGGCACTGAACCATTTAATCGGCTCTCACTGAAGGTGAATTACCCATTGTGGAGATGGGCTTAATGAGTTTTAGAGGTTATATCAGGCATTTGCAGTTGAAAATAAATCAAAATGTCTTGACTCACTATGAGTTATAATAATTTCTGGAAACAGAAATCATCGGTTACCCTTAATTTTAGTAGTTTTCAACTTAAACTTATACTATACAAGAATCTCTACTTCTTGTCACCTGTTCTTTCCCTCATATATGCAAATAATTAAAAAAAAAAAAAACCAACCAAAACAAAACAGAATTGTCACTGACCTGTTTATCAAAAGTACTGGCAAGGATATGTTCTATCTATGCTTGATGTGGATATGGATTTTAAAGGGTGCTTCTCATGTAGGGCAGCTGCGAAGTCTTCATTGTTTGTGCCCTACTTGGCCTTGATGCCAGGCTGAGATGGAAAAATATGACTTTTAGTGACCTGTGAGGGAGTGGGGTCTGAAATTCAGATGGTGATGGAAGAATATTTTCATTGTTAGGAGATGGCTGTGAAGAATGAAGTTGGCCTGATAAATAATCCTCTAAAGATTTCCTGGCTGGAGGGCCAGCCCCGGAACAATCCCGGCTCTGTCCTTTCTGACAGCACTAGTCAGCCCAGGACTTCACAGGTAAGGAGACATAGGCTGCTGTTATTTAAATCTGTTTCTATAGCAACCTAAATTTAACAGTGTGCTTTGCATTTATGGTAAGATACATTGATTCCCAGCAGAGCTGAAAAGAAGCTCTTAATGAAAGGCCTGGCTTTCTGATGAGCCCTTTTGTGCTGAAGCAGTGGCTTTTTTAAAGGACCTTCTGCCTGAGTGGCAGCACAGTGAGAACACAAGCTGTTTGGATGTCTGGTTCTTCACACAATCTCACACTCTCTCTTCCAAGTGAAAAACAAGGATGTTCCTTGCTCAGTTCAAAGCCTCTAATGCCATTCTGCTGGAATTTTTTCTAATATACTTGGATTGTGCGAGTCCTCTGGCTGATAGCTGGTTGAAACGGGTCTCCTAGAAGACTTCTCTAGAGAGGCTTGGTTACTCACCGTGTTCACAAGAGGGGAAATTTCAGTGCTGAATAGAAACCTGTATTCTTAGAGTCTGCAGGAGGGAAGAGAACGCAATATCAAATTAAGTATCCTTGTAGAGACCATATTGTCTGGTTTGGGTCCTCTTTACCGGGGTGGTTGCTTTGAGTGCGAGGTGTTGTTTCACCAGATGCTCGCTCTGATGCTTTTGCTCTTGAACAAAAAATCTATTCCAATCACAAAACAAATGGAAGGCAATAACGTCTAGTGGTTAAAACATAGAAACCAATCTGAGGACGTGCTGCAGCAAATTGTTGTCTCTCTGTTACCGTTGCTCCTGTTGGCCCTCCAGAGTGGCAGATGTATCCAGTTCTTTTGAAGCACGTTGCACTGCACTTTGCTCTATAGCACAGAATTTATCTCGTGCTCTGCATGTCTTCTAATCTAGTTAGCAATTCCTTGGCTGTGAAGGTGTGAAGGGACCCCAGATCTTTTGCTGGTTATTCCAGTTCCAGTTCAAACTTCATGTGAGACTTATTTCCTTCTTCCCTGTGGTATAAAGATCAGAAAGATCTAATTGCTGAGAGGACTCCTGCCTCATGCTCTACAGGTGCCCTTAGTCCGTGTGTCTGTGTCTCGATCAGCCTTGTGTGTGTTCGCTACCTAAATATTTTAGCAGCTTGTGAGATTGTTCAGTATATTCACTCTCCTGACTTTTTGTTAAGTACTTTATTAATAGGAGATGCATTTGTACATCAGAATGGCATGTTGTTATCCTAGTTTTGTTTAGGGTTGTATATTTCCACTTGGGATGCTTGTTCTGTGTCTGAACTGCCTGGCCTGAGCAGCATAGTTTCCCAGAAATCTCAGGCAAATCTAGCCCAGGAGCCAGGCAGATCTCCGTGCACAGTGTAGAACCAGTGAGAGTCCTGCAGACACAGCAGATTCGCAGAGGTGGCCAGAGTGTTAGAAGGCAAATCGGGGAAAAAAGGAGAATCCTATCCAGTTTGAGTGTATCTCGCTGGTAGAGCATGAGAACTGGCTCACTCATAGCTAAGGGGGTTGCTGGTGCAATTGGAGCTTGGTAGTGGATTCTTGCCTCTGCGGGTTCAAAAGTCTCCTGGCTTTTGACTGAGTTTATCTTGGCTTGTTTCCATGGCCAAAGCTTGTTAGTGTGGAACTGCAGCGTTTGCCTGCTGTGAAGGATTAGCTTGGTGGAGCAGCAAGGGAGAGCAGGCTAAAGCAGCAAATGGTGTTCACGCTGCGTGGAGGTGGTGACTCACTTCTGTCCAATGCAGCGTCGTCAGTCCCATATTATCTCTCAAAATGATGAGAAGTTATGGCCAGTGACTTGCAGCCTTTCCCATCAATTGTGCTGCTGATGCTTGTCTGTCCTTCCTACTGCTTTTATGTGTAAGCAGCTGCGAATTTTTTTATTACATTGCAGTCTTGCTGTCCAGGCTAAGATCTCCAAGCTGCGCTGGGTCCCGCTTTTCCTAATTCCTACTCCAGACCCTCCCCAAATCCTCCTGCTGCTTCCACTAGGATGCTTCCAAAATCTGTAATCTGGTAATAGCTTCTCTTGGCTGTACTGCTGCCAGTTGACTTATTCTTTGTCCTCAGCTCTTCAGCTCTAGACTATGCAAAATGAGCTCTTTCAGATCTCTTTTGCCACCACCTCAACTTACTCCCTGTTTCATCCTTTCATACCCAGCCTGGCTTCCCAGCCGTCAGGGTCCACATTCTCACTTTCGAGCTGCACTTCGTCTTATTCTGATTCAAGCTGCCCTCACTTCCTATTTGCTGCTCCCTCTGGGTCGCTCCTATTTTTGTCTGAATCCACCCCCATGTTTGCTCCCACTCTGTGCAAATGCAGCTCCTTCCCCGCTCTGCTTCAGAAAACAGCCGAAAACCTACAGCGTTCTCATGGCAACGCACTCACTACTCATCTGCTTCAGAGCGGTGTCTGCTCCCCGCCTGGGGTAGCCAGCCAGGAGCTGTGCACCCAAGTCTCCGAATAAAGAACAGCCGCACGCTAACTAGACCAGGGGAGCTTTGGAAGCAGTTCCCAGGTGAAAGCAGGGCTGATTGTTGAGAAGTCGTGCTGTGAGGAGGCAGTAAGTTGCAAGATAGTTGCCTCCACAGTCTTGGTTGGCTTGTTTTCTTCTACAGCAATGGGTGCATGTTGTCCAGCAGTTCCTGGAGAGCTGCTGGAGCCAAACGAGCAAGTTATGCTTGAATTACAAAAGCTGTGTTTTGGCCAGTGTTACTCTAGGCTATTTGAGAGCAATGACTGTTTGATTGCTGCAGCTCTGAATGGTTCAAAGCACACAACAGCTGCCCAGCGCTGTGAAGAGCGTATTTTGCCACTGCAACAGCATGAAGCGCTCATTTCTGCAAGGGTCTTCCTTGTACCTTTAGTAGTGGGATCTCCCTGCCAGTGATCCTCGTCCATTTTGTGCCATTTATTCAGTCATATTAAAGTGCTGAGAAAAGCCTTCTCTCTGGCACTCTTGCATCTTTTCTAAGCTCCTTTGAGGTTTTGTAGAGTTTGGTTTATATTGTCTGACTTTACAGCCTGATGTGAAAGTAGTAGGTTAGGAGCCGTCTGTGCCTTCTCTGCAATGTCTCTGTGCTTTGCTGTAGCTGGCTTCCAAAGCTTATGGTTGTCTGGGGGCATGGAGGTTTTATTCTGTTATTTTTTTAAAAAAAGAGACCGGGTATCTAATCTAGCTATGAAAAAGGTAAGAATTGGTGAGCCAGTAGTTTCTGCAGTGTCCTTTTAATAGTTTGCCCTGATATTGCCTAAAACGTTCTCAGCCTGGCAGGGCACTTCCCATTGTCCAGCTCACGGGGTAAAGAACTGTTCATTCCAACACTGGAGCTCTGTGCACCCTCCTCAGGGGAAGGTGAAGTCCGGCAGCTCTAGCCTTCTCCCAGCCCAGAAGAGCAGAGCCACACCGCTTCCCCACCCTCATAACAACCTGAAGTGCCAGAGAGGATAGATCTCTGTCACTACAGATAAGGGACCTGTGCTCTTGGTGCCTGGGCTTTTTCTGGCTTGCTACCAATGAAATGAGGCAACAAGACGCTTCCAGTCACAGATACATTTATTCTTCCATATCTGTACAGCCGATAGATCAGTGCATGCTTCAAGCAGCAGTATCTAGAGAAATTTCTTCTGCTAGTAGGATAAATAAACTGCTGTTGCTGTATTACAAGCCTACATGGATGCTTACCTGTTTCCAGGCTGAGAGTGCCAACTGCACTCTAGTTAGGGGAAAAGAAACCCACAAGAAAAAAAAAAGGAGGAACAGCTTTGATTTTTCACATCCAAACATGGTGGGAGAAGAAACACCAGTTCCTGTCTCTTGACCCTTGCCATAGCTATGGCTTTGAGCTGCAACGCTGTTGTCTCCTTGCAGGCTGCCTGCTTATCCACAAAATCATGTATGCTGTACCCTCTTCTGCCCGTGTTCCGCAGTGTCACAGCCACATCCCCAAAATAACAAGTCTGTTGGCAAACAACGCCATTCTGCCCCGAGGAGGAGATGCACAGTCAAGAGTGGGAAATCCCCAGTGTGGAGAATGGAAACTTGCCCACGAGGTTCCAGCAGACAGTGCTCTCATCTGAGCACGGAGCCTGTGAGCTCTGCTCCAAAGGACTCCTTGGCAAGGACAAGGACAGTCTGTGGTGGGTAAGGTGAGAACAACAGAACAGGCCACACATAACAGGAATGCTGCAGTGTCCTTCCTCCCACTAGGACTCGGGAAACTGTCAGCAGCAGTAAGTAAATGTGGTATGTTAAATGATAAATACCTTCAAATGGCGTAATCTCTTGGATTCTGTTTCCTGAGGGTCTGCAGAACATCCTCGAGAAGCGATAGCCCCAAATCCACTTTGAAGGACAGGAAGGGATCAGACAGGTCAGAAAGAGTGGTGCCATTCTGGGAACCCGTCTCTGAGGTCCCGCAGTCTGTAGCCTGGTCCTTGTGGAACTGAGTTTGAGTGGCTTTGTGGTATTGATGACCAGCACCAGAAAAGGAGATGTCAGAGTGAGAATCTGTGTGATCGATGATGTTGGGGCAGCTAGAACTGTCCAGGTACAGCCGGGGAGGCTTGGGAGGTGCTTGTGCCTTGGCTAGGTTTTGCTCACTCTGACATGACAGGTAATCGGACTTGTCCTTCAGATCCCTCAAGCATTCCCTCTTCTGGCACTGTCCATCGCTGTCCAGAGTGTGGCTGTTCTGATTCAAGATGATGACTTGGTTGCCCAGCTTTTTGTGTCTCCTGAGTGAGAAACGTCTGAAGAACGTTGTGGACTTGATGGACCCTCTCCGCCAAGTATCCATGCTGATGAAAGGCGACGAGAAGAAGGAAACTGCTGACTCTTCACAGTCAGGTGTTGGACTTAAGTCGCAGGATCAGCAGCAAGCCACACAACAGGAACAACCTCTTCCTTCCCTGTTCCTGTAGCTGGAAGGAAAACAGAGAAGCTGGTATTGCAGGAAATGCAAACTTCACACTACGTCCCCGTGTTAAGGAGCAGTTGGCCTGTCTTAGATATTAAGGAGTCTCCTTCTTCAGCGGAGAAGGAATGGCGAGGTCTGCGCTTATTAAATCTGTGCTGCAGAAACGAGCTGATGAAGAATAGCAAAGGCAGACAGTCACCATGAGAACAGATTTAATCTAGCATCTAGAACAGAAGGGCACTTTGGTACCATGGTAACCAGCCACCTTCATGGTGAAGGGCACAGTATAAAAATCTCAGTGGGTGGTTAGGAAGGGAGACGGTGACTCAGTCCCGCTGAAGGAGACCAAAGAAATACCGTCAAATGGGAATCTAAAAAGCAACAAGACGCAGATGTAAAAGACAAACATTAGGAAAATTGAATGCAAAATAGACTTACGCTGTGTCGGAGCAGCGCCCGAGTCTAACAGGCGGCGAGGAGAAACTGCTGAAGCACTCGGAGAACCGTCACCACCACATTCATGGGTACGCTGGGACGTTGGAAGAAGCGAGTCCAGGGACAATTCAGCCAGGTTGGACCCAGAACACTGAAAATCCCCAGTGCCTCCTTCTCTTCATGTGCCTCCCGTCACAGCTTCCCAGGCTGCAGTTCCTTGTGCGTATGTATTTGTTTTGAGCCAAGCCCTTGCTGAGTCAGCCACGTCAGAAACTGGGTTTTACACTATTGGTAATTGCCAGGATTGCAGGAAGTAGGTGTGTGGAGTGGCAAAGCATCAGCCCACACTCTGCCTGAGGAGAAAGCGAGCTCCCTCAGAGGCACCCAGATTGCTTGAGAACTCTCAGCGCGAATGTCGACTTGTAGCCCATCTTGAATCAGAGCGTCTCTTCTCTTGGTGCTCTCCCTTCTGCCACTTCTGATGGCTGCTTGTGGCGGCAGGGCTCCCAAATGAGGCCAGAATTAATCTCTTGTCTGTTTTAAATTTAAATACAGAGTGTGAGGTAGTGTTTCAGGTTTGTATGGGTGATTCATCTGCGTGAGTCTCATGTAGGCTATGTAATTCGGCCAAGCAAATGACAGCAAGTATCTGCGGTTAGTGGACAGGAACTTTGAAGAAGCCTAGTTCTGCCACAGAAAGGTGATACAATCTGGTGCTTTCTCAAACACTGTGAAAATCTGTGCTGTGCAGTACTGAAAGGTTATTTCGTTCATTCAGCTCCTCAGATGCCAATTACGGCGGATTAGTCTCTTAATTTCCTGGTCTAAGTTTCTCATCTCTTGTGGTCTTCTATTTTGTCCTCGCAGCTAGAAACTCTGCAGCTGGAGGAACCACTCCGCTGGCACACAATGAAAAATTTGCACTTGCCCCATTTTCATGCAGAATCTTATTGAGCTATCCTATCGCCTTTTAATCCCTTCTGTCTTCTATTTAAGGTGTCCTTAAATCACCACTAAATCTAGTTCCTAGAGAAATGAGCATGAGAAAAATTTCTTTCATTCACCTTCTGTCTAAATGCTTTTATTTCTACCTGAACTGTCAAGCAAATGGGATGGATGTTTCCAAGCATTGCAGTGCTTTGACTACATCTGAAATGGTAAGGCCACCTACTAATGTTAAGTGCCTTTTGAAAGCAGAGTGCCAAAACCACCGCTTTGCTCTGCGATAGCAGCTGTCATCTGCTGCCTACATTTATTAGGTAGAGTCTGCAATCACCACTTAGTTGACGTGACAGTTGCTACCACACACGGCAGAAAGGCTCCAAGAGCTTTTGAGAACTGAAACGCTCTTATGTCAGGTTTGGCAACGTACCTGATGGTTTTCTTTATGTAGCCACTGCCATGACTAAACCACAGAAAGGTTTGATTATGGTTTGTTTTTTTTTTTTTTATGGCATTAGCCTTTATAACGGATGAAGTGTACGCTGGACTTTGGCACCAGCGTTGTACCTGCAGAGTGAGCTTGTCATCCGAACTAACCAGCCACGGTGAGGCAAGCCACGCTTCCCCGGCCACCCTGGCAGGGAGCAGGGAGTAGCTCCAGCAGCAAGAGGGTGATTGGGGCTCCCTGTCTGTCCCGCTCCTTGTCTCGCCAGGAGCAGCGTGGCGAAGCTGCCTCTTCTCTGTAGGCCAGGCAGCTGTCGCACCTCACCTGATTTCTCTGGGGTCACACTGCTGTGAACCACCTTCCTGACGCCAGCGGGCACGTTGCGAGTGTGGGTGATGGAGAGGGGGGCTGGGGTATACGCTGTCCTTGAGAGGTTGCCTTTGTTCTCTGCTCCCAGGCGTCGGTGGTATCGGAGCGGGATTACGAGAGCCTGGTGATGATGCGGATGCGCCAAGCGGCGGAGAGGCAGCAGCTGATCGAACAGCTGAAGCGGGAAGACGAGGAAGAGTCTCACACCTAGCAGGAGAGAGTATGGCTTCTCCCCACCCCATCATTCTTCGTTTCCAAAGCTGTTTCTTAAATTAAGTCAATAAACCTCCTTTTTTAAAACTGTTGTAGGAATACAAACTCTCAGTGACTGCAGCCCTTATCCCTTTCCAGAGTGGGGGGAAAAAATGGCTGCAGCAGCGTCAGGGTGAGTGTATTAACCTGTGGGTCTGTGTGCTCCGAGCAGCTGCCCAGACACAGAGGACAGGGTGAGAGAGGTGCTATCAAACGCTTTTAATTCCTGAAAGCTTGTTCAGGAGCTGTGGATCCAAAAGGCTTTGGCAACGAGTGTTTAAAACAACCCACAGAAAGACACTGGTTGCTTTAGAGAAGTGTTTTATTGGTGTTACCCCTCCAGCAGGATTGATACACAGTCCCAAACAATCCAGCATTGCAGTCGCTGCTGTTAAGATTACAGAGCCCGTACCTGAAATGTTCCCAAGACCTTTCTGTGCTGCTCCAAGGCTGTTTGAGGAACAACGCGTTACACTTGAATGGCACTGGCGGGGCTGAAGGGCTGATGATGCCGCTAACCACAATCCCAGTGGGGAGAGACACTTGCCTTGCTGCCGAGTGAAGGGATTCTCAAAGAGCACCGTGCAGGTGTTGCACTCCAGGGATGAGACAGTGCGCCATCCCTGCTCGGCCCCCCCTCCCTACCCCCGTGGCCTGGGAGAAGGCACGTCCTGAACTCTCTGGGCTCGGCAGTACCTCTCTGGGGCAGCCCCGAGGAACAGGCAGCCTAATCTGTTACTTGAGCGTCCTCCAATGCACGCTAACTAGGAGATGATTCAAATGTAGAAAGATGGTATTTGCCAGACTGCCATTCAGAGGAATGCGGGGATAGAGCCATCTGTTCTCTGCGTGATTTCGTCTGGACTGGGCGTACCTTCCTCCCCCCGGCCCTGTGAAATGGCGGCGATGGCAAGTGTACGTTGGGTCAAGCTTTGCCTCTACACCCCTCCTCCCCCCGCGCCCGAGCGCCTGGAGTCTGGGACAGAAAGGAATTGAGGGGAAAAGTTTGCTGTCAGTCCCGTGTGAGATGATCCCCAGCGGGATCTCGTCCAGGAGGGACGCCGACGTCTTCCTCACTATTCCTTGTGGAGGCACCACACCAAGGTCTGGCCCACGCCTGTCATGCTCACCACCCGGTAGCCGCAGCTCTCCAGCTTGTTCAGCACTACCCGCGGTGCGTCGTTCACGTAGTACTCCCAGCTGCGAGCAGGGAAGAGGAGAAGAAAGAAAATGAGCCGGAGAAGGAAGAGACCAGAATCTCCTCGTGGAAGTGACTCTGCCTCACTGCTAAGCCCGTGGGAGACGCTGCGGTGAGCGCACCCGCGTGCTGCAGCGGCTGGGTTAACCGGATGGCCAAAACCCCCAGTTGCCAAACCAGGGAGGAACCTGTCCGGAGTGGGAGGGTCACGTTAAACTGACACGTGGTTTGAGGACTCCTTGTCCAAAGCCACGTGCTGCTCGCTTAACTGGGCTGAAACTGCAGGAGGGAGCGTTCCCAAGTGTCCAGAGCTGGGGATTCATGGAAAAAGAGGATAATCTCTGCAAAGCAGGGAAGAATGATAGAACGAGGGGGAATGGCTTCAAACTGGAGGAGGGTAGGTTTAGAATGGATATCAGGAAGATATTTTTCACTCTGAGGGTGGTGAGATGCTTGAACAAATTGTCCAGGGAAGCGGTGGCTGCCCCATCCCTGGAGGTGTTCAAGGCCAGGCTGGACGGGGCTTGGAGCAACCTGGGCTGGGGGTGGAATGAGATGTCCAACTTAAGGTCCCTTCCAACCTAAACCATTCTGTAATGAGTATGATTCAGGTGTTTCTAAGGAACGAAAAGCCAGTGTTTTGCCGGTGTCAGAGCTTAACTTGGGTGCTTTTTGGAGCCTGTGCTTGAAATTTGGGGATTGGCAAAAAAATGCTGTCTTCAGCCAAGTATGAAGCCTTTGAAAAACCAGAAGTCGGCAGTCCTCAACAGAGCTGCCAAATGAGGGGGAGCAGAGGCTCCTCGCTACCCCGGCGGTTCAGAGCAGTCGCACGCTGTGGTGTCTGCGAACTGGCGCCGGGGATCTCTGTGCAGCTTCTATGCCTCTGCAGTTCCCGCTGGCTCCGTGCATTCGGAGCAGAAGCTCTCCTTCCCTCCGCCTGATCCCCGAGGCAGCTTCTCCGCAGAAGACTGAGTTCTGCGGGACCGCTCCACCATAACGAAAATAGATGGTGGTTGCGGAGTGGAAGAGGAGCACATTACAGACACAAAACGGGCTGAATTAGGCGGGGAAGCAGCGGAGCTGAAACGGCAAGTGTAACCTTCAGCGCTGGGTTTGGCAGCCTTTCTGTTCCTGTAACACGGGCTCCTCGGATGCAGTATTTATCCAAGCAGATGGGACAAGCTTCATAATAGTTCAGCTCTTAGATGACTCACTGTGCCAGATAAGCTGCTAATGATGGGCTACGGGATCACTGGGATCTTGTTTGGGCACCTGAACAAAGACTCTCCTGATTTTCATACTAATAACAATAAAGAAAGACCCCAAAGCATTTCCAGAGTCGCTCTTGCTAAGATTGCAAAACATTAATGGTGCGGCGAGTGCTTTTAAAGCATGAAATAACACCAAGATGTGAAAGCTTTTTTTCGGTTTCTCAAGACAGACTATACTTTGCTGTAATTATAGATGTGGTGTAAAGATAATGTGTATTATTATAAGCGTCTTTGAACCGAATGCTTTCTCTAAGAGGCTTGCCACATACCCTTCACATTCACACGTTGGGGTTGGTAAATATTATTCCCATTATGCAGCGGAGGGAGCTGAGGCAGGGATTGTGTGTTATTTGCAGGAACCTAAAAAACCCGAGTGGCTGAGCTAGAAGCAGAAGGAAAGCTGAGTTGCCCTGGGCTTTAAACACACAGCTCCCTAGTGGGGGAAACAAAAGAGCGCACACACTGCGTATCGAACACACCGCCGTCTCCCTCTGCCGCCGGCCTGAGTGAGGTCGGGGTGGCTGGGAGCGTTTGCACGGCCTTTCCTCCCAGCGAAATGCCGGCGGGGACCAAAAATGTCACCCGGGACTGGGGAGGACTCCTGCGCTTGCACACACGGCGTCGGTGACCCCAGCTGCCCTGCCTGCCAGATGTGCCGAAACCAGAGCGCCCAGGTGAGCGAGTGTCTCCAGCCGCAGCTAATCTTAGCGATGGAGCCGACAGCCTCCTGCTGGTTTCTGCCCGGCTGCCCTCTCAGCGTCCCGGCGGACGCGGTTTGGCCGTGCCCTGCGGAGCGGGTAAATTAAAGAATTAGCGGGTGCCGCACACCTCAACCCCCAAGCCGAGCAGAGAGGCGTTTGGTTTGGTTCCGCGCCAACCGGTCCTGATGGCCTTTGCAGTGGAGGAGACGCAGGGGACGGTGCCTGGAGGTCACCCACACGCGCGCGTCCCCCGGGGTGGACCCAGAAGATTCCCCTCTCCCGCAGCAGCCGGGGGTCGGGCTTTGCATCCTCATCCCGCACAGGCTGGGGCACGGCAGGATCGGTGCTCTCCCTTATTAGAGGCAATTAAGTTCTTCATCTCTGTATTAAGTGCTCCGGCAGGTCCGTACTGCTTCCACCTTTTCCTCCAAGCTCCCTCCAAGGTCTTGTTTAAGGTTTTGGGGGCATGCGGTGGGATGGGAAGGGCAAGATTTGTGGCGTCCTACAGCTGGGCTTAGCGCCAGCGAAGGGGCGGATGGAGTCCTGCCCGGCCGGGGCGCGAATACGGGAGCTCTCGTCCCTGGCTGGGATTTTGGGCTCACCCCGCCGCCGTGCCCCCCGGGCTGTCAGCACCCACCTTCCAGCCAGGCTGGAGGGAGGGCGGGAAGGTGCTGAGTCCAGCAGGGGCATCCCGCGGGCAGCTCGGAGCCCTTCTCCCAAACGGACGGAGTGTGGCACTCCGGTTCCCTACAACGCTGCGTTCTTGCCCCCGCTTGGGTCCCCCTTCTCCCATCGCATCACCCCTGAGAGCCCCAGGAGCCCTCGGCTGGGCTGGGCTGGGCTCGGCAGGCAGCGGCACGCCGCCGGCACTGC